TTACCTTTGATTCTTTTATTATGTGAAATAATTAATTTACAGGAAAATTCTCAATTTTGTTATATTCCAACAATTCCCTACTTGCATGGTGGCTATCTCAAATCAGCCAACAAAAAGCAATAGAGTAGTTGGTCATTATTACCCTGACATAACTAGGTTGTAGAGTGCAAGCTCATCTGTTTCAATATTATAAGAGTGAAGGAAACTTGTAAGAGAGTAGAAAGTAATTCACTTTTTATATAAAAGAATTAGAATATATAAAGAAGTTTGCAATTACCCATCAGAATTGATGGAGTGGGCATTCTATCAAGGCATATTGACTTCTTTCCCATTTGATATTTTTACTTTATTCTAAATAATAACATTATTTTAAAACTAACAGGGGCTCAATTTTCTTTTTATCAGGTTCTGGGAATTGGATTGGCTTTATACTTGCAATCTCCCTGGGCCTCACCTCCATCCTCAAGTAAATTTTAATTTAGATTTTATTGATGATATTGTCAAAAGAATTAACTAGCAATTAATTAGCCAACACATTTTATGCAATTAATTAGTAAATATTATGTAGTTAATCAGCAAATTTGTTACATTATGACAACAAATTATATGCAATTAATCAGCATATAGAGTAGCAGATTTCACACAATTATGATAACAAATTATGTAATTAATTAGTCAGCAAATTTTATGTTTAATTTAATGACTTGTATAGGTTTAATAACTTAATTAGGATATATTTGTTTAAGTAATTTAGGAGCAAAAAATTAGCTTGTATATTTGTATATATAATGAGAATTTTTTTCTATGGAGGACACACAAAAATTTTTCTACTCAAAATCTTTTAAATTGTCATGGTATCAGAGCATAGGTTCTAAATTCTTAAGTTTTTTTTTACTTATTTCAAGTCTCAATTCTGTTCTTATTCTTAGTATAGTTCCTTATTCTTATTTGTTCTTGATCAAATTCTCTCGGCATCGTGTCCCCAGACAAGTATGAGTCAATCTTGATTCGTTTTAGTAGAAAAAATTATTCAGTCTGAACATTGTACTTCAGAATTTTTATCAAAGGTGAAGATTTATGGGGCCATATTGATGACAGCAAACCTGCCCCAAACAAATATAAAGAAAAGGATGAACATGCCAAGTGGGAAGTTAAAGATGCTCAAATCATAACATAGATTTTAGAATCTGTTGATTCGAAAATCATCTTGAACCTTCAACCCTTCAAGACTGTAGTTGAGATGTGGAGTTATTTAAAAAAACTCTATAGCCAGCACAATATTGCTCGAAGATTTCAACTTGAACTTGATTTAGCTAGTCTTCAATAGGATAGTCTCTCTATCTCTAATTTTTATTCTATCTTTATGAATCTTTGGACTGAATATATTGATATAGTATATGCTACCTTACCTCCTGAAGGTCTTATCTCTGTTCAATCTATTCATGAAACTATTAAAAGGGATCAATTTTTTATAAAACTTAGATTTGAATTTGAAAGCACCAGGTCTAATCTTATGAACCGAGAACCTGTTCTCTCATTGGATGTATGCCTCAATGTTTTGTTTTGTGAGAAATAACGAATTCTCACTCAAACCATCATGGAACAATAAAGATCTACCTCTGTCTCTGTGGCTTATGTAGCACAAGGTAAGTCAAAAGATAAAGACTTGAGCATAATTCAGTGTTTTTGTTGCAAAGGGTTTGAGCATTATACTTCAAATTGTTCAAAAGAATCCTGCAACTACTGTATAAATGATGATCACATCATCAAGGAATGTCCTATCCAACCTCATAAGAAATCTAAAACAGTATATACAACGTCTGTTGGTTTTTCCAATACTGGTAATTCTGTGAACATGACACAGAGTGCTCTTGCTGCTCCTACTCCACCTGTAACTCCTGAAATGATTCAACAAATGATCATCTCTGCATTCTTTGCCTTAGAATTTTCAGGTAGATGTTTTTCAACATCATCTCCTTGGTATTTTGACTATGCAGCTTCTAATCATATGATCAACAATCTTAATTTTCTTACCAATGTCAACAAATACTCTAGAAATCTCAAGATTTATACAGCTTATGGAAATCTTTTACCTATCACAGCCACTGGTGACATTTCTTCTTTTCTAACAAATGTTTTTATCTCTCCTAATCTTACCAGTAATCTTGTTTCTATTGGTCAGTTGGTTGATGATAATTATAAAGTAGAATTTTCTAAATCTGGTTGTATTGTGCAAGATTAACAATCAGGGAAGACGATTGCAGGGGGCCTGAAGTAGGACGTCTTTTTCCTCTCCCATTTCCTTTATCTCCATATTTCTCTGTGCCCATTATCACTTGTAATTCTGCTCATGTTGATTATCGAATATGGCATAAACGTCTCGGACATCCAAACTCTAATGTACTCCATGTTTTATTACATTCTGATTTGTTTGGGAATAAAGATTCATCATCTCTTAGTGTTGTTCAATTTGATTGCAATTCTTGTAAGATTTGCAAAAGTAAAACTTTACCATTTCTATTCATATACCAAATGTAGTCTAATCTTTTAATTTAATATATAGTGATATGTGTGGTATGACACCAGTTACTTCTCATACTAATTACAAGTATTTTGTCACTTTTATTGATGATTATAGTCGTTTCATATGAATTTATTTTCTTAAATTTAGGGATGAAATATTTTTTGTCTTCAAGCTTTTCCATGCTCATATTCAAACCCGATTTTCTGGTAAAATCAAAATCTTTTACTCTAACAATAAGGGTGAGTACATATCTTTTTTTTTTTTTTCAGAAGTTCCTACAAATTAATAGAATAACTTCTCAACAATTTTGTCCTTCAACCCCACAACAAAATGGGGTGACGGAGAGAAAGAATCATCATTTTCTTTCCGCACCCTTCTACTAGAGTCTTTTGACCCTCTCGGTTTTGGTATGAAGTTCTCTCACTGTTGTGCACCTCATCAACAGATTGCCCTCTCTCTCTTTGAACCATGCCTCTCCTTTTACTTGATTATTTGGTTGCGCTCCAAATTATTTTAACCTTTGTACTTTCGGTTGTGTGTGTTTTGTACATCCTCCTGCACATGAACGCATAAAACTTATAGCTCAATCAGTTCAATATGCATTTTTAGGATAATCAGTACACCTAAAAAGTTTTATTTATTATGATCCTAATCTGCGTCGTATTCGGATATCCAAAAATGTGACATTTTTTGAAAATCAGTATTTTTTTGCTACTCACCATTATCATATTTCTCCTTCATTTTTTTGTTTTGCCATGGTTTACTAACTCTTCTACAGATCCTGTACCTTTTAAACCTCTCTTGGTGTATCAACGACGCTTGCCCAAAGCATCATATCAAACTTCTACACCTAACAGGCCTCCTCCAATGGATTCCTTGACGGTTGTTTCTATTTCAACAATTACACTTGCTCCTCTTAGACACAATACTCGTGTTCATAAACCACCATATATGTATGGTTTTACCCCTCGTTTTTCCTTAATAGCCACTTTGTCATCTATTTCCATTCTCTCCTCATATAAATAGGCAATGGAGCATGTGTTGGCGGTAAGCCATTGAAGCAGAATTTCTGACACTAGAAGAAAACCAAACTTAGGATGTTGTTTCATCTTCCCCATTTGTGAAACCCCTTGAAAGTAAGCTCGTGTTTTCCATAAAATTTCGATTTGATGGTCTCATATATCATTACAAGGCTCGAGGTTCTTGGCAACAAATAAGAGTATGGTTTAGAGTATGATGATACCTTTGCACCAGTAGACAAGATGACAATGTGCATACCATACTAGCCCTTGCTGCATCTCAATCGTGGTCTTTACATCAAATAGATGTTAAAAACGCTTTCTTGCATGGTGATCTAAAGGAATAAGTTTATATAAAACTTTAGTATGGTATGACTACTCCTTCATCTAATGTTGTTTATTAAATAAAATGTTCTTTATATGGCTTGAAGCAGACACCGCGGATATGGTTTGAAAAGTTTAGATCTATTCTTCTTAGTTTTTCATTTACTCAAAGTCAGTATGACTCTTCACTTTTTTTTTCAAAGAACATCTAAGCGCTTAATTGTACTTCTTATTTATGTGAATGACATAGTTATTACTGTCTCTGATAAAGAGGGAATCTCTGAAATTCAAAACTTGTTGCACTCTTCTTTTTAATGAAAGACCTTGCAGTTCACCTATTTCTTGGGGTTAGAGGTGCATCATCAGTTTCAAAGTATTTTTTTAAATCAACAAAAATATATTAAGGATCTAGTTAAATTTGGTGGTCTCACGAACACTACATCTGTTGACACTCCTGTGGAATTTAATGTCAAATATCGACGTGATGAAGGAAAACTTCTTGAGGATCCTACTTTATATCGAAAACTGGTTGGTATCTCATCTATTTAACCATCACCCGACCAAACATTTCCTATGTTGTTCACGTCGTCAGTAAGTTCATGCAAACTCCTCGACATCTTCACCCATCAGCAGTCCGTCGAATTATCAAGTATATTTATAGCACTCATAGCATTGAGTCATTTTTTACTACTGGTTCTTCTCTTCAATTACAATTATATAGTGATGTTGATTGGGCAGAGTGTCCAGACACTAGAAAATCTACTACTGAATGATGTATGTTTCTTGGTATGTCCTTATCTCTTGGAAATGTAAGAAACAAAACTCTGTATCCAAGTCTTCCACTGAGGCAGAATATCGAGTCATGTCTGCTGTATGCTTCGAGATCATTTGGCTATGTGGTCTCCTTACAGAGCTTAGTTTCTCACAAGTTCAATTTACTCCATTACATGCTGACAACACTAGTGAGATCCAAATCGCCACCAACCCTGTTTACAACGAAAGGACGAAGCACATAGAAGTTGACTATCATTCCATTCGATAGGCATATGACCGTTAAGTTATTAACCTACCATATATATCCACCACTCTATAAATTGTAGATCTTTTTGTTAAACCTATGACACGTCAGTACTATAGCTTTTTTGTTATCAAATTGATGTTTGTTAATTTACCAGCATCAATTTGAGGGAGGATGTAAAAGGAATTAACTGACAATTAATTATTCAGCAGATTTCATGCAATTAATCAACAGATATTATACAGTTAATTAGTAGATTTATTACAATTATAACAGCAGATTATATACAATTAATTAGCATCTATGACAACATATTTTATGCAATTAATCAGCAGATTTCACACAATTATGACAGTAAATTATGCAATTAATTAGTCAACAGATTTTATGTGTAAGTTTATGACTTGTATAACTTTAATAGTTTTAATTCGAACAGATTTGTTTAGCTAATTTAGGGGCAGAAAATTAGCTTGTATATTTGTATATATAATGAGAATTATCCTCCATGGAGGACGTTAGATTTTTGTTATTTTGTTTTTATGTAATGTCTTTTGTATTCCGAAGTATTGACCTTCTTGATTGATTGATGGTTCTCATTCTTGTCTTCTTCTAATCTAAGAGGATGAGTATGGATCTCGAAGTTAGTTTGGAGAAAACATGTTTTTTTGTTTATTGGGTAGATAATATTTTCCAATGTCTAAAGTGGTACTTGCTCATGAAATCTTTTTCCTGTTAGTCTCTTTTTGACGAATATAAAGTTGTACGGAAATGGATATAACTGCTATAACCATGATCACTGTATTCTTTGTTGAGAATGAAACATTTCTTTTCTATCTTTTCCCTTTAAGGGGTATTCTTCATCTGTAGCCTATGATAGTGTTTATAGTAGGTTCTTAGTATTTTAGATTATGTTTAATAATAATAGTTTAAAAGCAGTTGCCCATCATTTGCAGATCTTTTCTTGATACGCAATATTCTTTTCATCTTTCAAAGCTGAAGCTAAAGCTACGATCCAGTATCATGACCGTTATCTATCAGAAGGTACACTTCAGTATTTCTAGCACTTTTAGCATATTGATGATGTTATTATTTTATATAATGGGGGGTAGATTGAAAGATCAGAAAATTAAGGAGGTGATTGGAAGAATAAATCCGGAAATTTTGATGATTCAAGAGAAAAAAATGGGGTGTCGCCCACCCCAATCAAAACTTATCAAACAATCTTGTCCACTATGTTCAAGTCATCTCGCAATGAAGGAAAAAATGATTATTTCAAATAAAAAATGAAGGAAAAAATGAGAATGTACCGAGTGTTTCTCACCTCCTTGTTGACACATAACACGCTTATCTAAGGATGATGCTTGATTCAGCGTACACCTCAGCAACAATTTATTAGTACTGAGCATGCTAAAAATTACAGTCCAAACAAATACCTTGACATTTAAAGGAACTTGAGCTTTCCAAAATTCATTGGCAAAAGTAGAGTGATAACCATTTGTGTTTTGAGGTATATGTTTATAAAAGGACTTGCATGTGTTATCTTATGGACTGCATGTTATCTTTGTAATAATCTGCAAGGGAATTGAGAGAGTGTGTATGGACAGGGTTGAGAGAATATGTACAAACATAGGCCGGGAGTTTTTGTACGTTCGCTGTTTTTCTCCTTCTTGCTCGCACCCATGGCGAGTAGTGAGGAGGCCGAGGTAAGGAGAAATACGTCTGGCGATTGGAGATTTCTGGCCATTGAACAGAAGATGCTTGATGTAGTAGGAGAATGTTTAGATAGGATGGGATCAGATTGTTGGAAAATGAAAGGAGTTTCCTTTCTTCCATATTTTTCAATGAAGATGATGTGGATTGGCTATTAAGGAGCTTTAGAGAATTTCTTTTTCGGTGAAGGGGGAGTAGACTTGGTGAAGGAGTAGGCGGGGAAACCAGAGATCTTTAGGGATGGTCTTGGGCCGAAATAAAAATGGCCTATATTTGGTATTTTCAGCGCGTTTCAGGAGTATATTTGTCCCAGACGGTGAGAAGGCGGAGGTATGGTGGAATTTTATGACGATCTTGCATGATGTGGCTGATGTGGAGATGGTAGTGTTGGGAAGTGAGAAGAAGGATGTGGGCTCAGTAATACATTTAGTGGTTACTCCATGGATCAATCAAGTCTCATGGGGAATATTTGCTGCTCTGTTTGCAAGGTTGAGTTGCGTATGAGGGTGGAAATGATGAAGGGTGTTTTATTTGCAGAGATGGTGAATCAGTATGCAAGGGGGGAGCACAGAGAAAGCCGGGAGGGAAGATGATGCCTATTTTTGACCTGAGAGCTAGAATATTTGAAATTCAAGATCCAGGTCCAAATGCACTCGGAGCATGCCATTTTAGGCCCTTAAAAAAAGTTTTCTCAAGTGGTCATCTGACTTAATAAGACAGATGGACCA